TTGCCTTTCTATTAATTTTCCATGATTTTTCTGTTTGTAAAAATGTCTTTTTTAAAAATCTGCCAAAAGCTACCTCAGTTCTTTGTTCATAGGGGAGGGGTGGTTATGGATGCTGTGCCTATTCACAAATATTTATTGTGTACCTAGTAAAATATTAACATTGGTAGTCAACATTTTTGAGTACTTCCTTCATATCAGGCATCATAGTAAATGTTTTTAATACATCATTTGATTTTATCTTCACAACTACCCTATGTAAGAGTTACTTTCGATTTACAGACAGAGAATCAGGGGCTTGGAGAAAGTCCGTGCTATGCTCACAGTTACATGACAAATTAGTAGATGAGCCAGCACTTGAACCCAAGACATTTGACTTCAAAATCTATGCTATTAACTCTCCCTCTCTGTTTCTTCTCTCTGGGCCAGGTGTTCTGTAGCCGATCTAGGAATTTTAAAGAAATAGAATATATGCTCTGTAGCCTAAAGTTCTCATACAGGACATGGAGTGTGCATGCTTCACAGGGGGGCAACGTTGGGCCCATTTATGCCTGATGGCAAAGGAACTGACTAGATAACAAAAGCTGGTCACATCTGCCCCTGAAGACTGGAATGGGGAGGGGCCCTCAATGTAAGGAAATCAGATAGTCTTTGGAAGTCATTTTTAGCCCAGTGCTTGCCTCCCATGTCCATGCTCAACAGAGAGCAACGAGGACACAGCTAAAGAAACAGGAGAGCATCTCAGTAAGAACCTAGGCCGTAGATGATTGAACTTGAATCTTTTCCTGATTGAGAATATTTTGTTCTATCTCTCTAATACCAAAAGAAGTGGTCATTTCTAAAATTAATTTCTCAGGTGTTAGTTTAACTAATGAAGGGAATGTTTCCCAGTTTCACTAGTCTCTAGTAGGTTAGAACCCTTCGAGTATGTTCCATGTACCTGTGCTTTCATTTGCAGAACTGGAGTGCAGTTTTATGTAGAGAGAATTAAAGTTCAACCACATATGTATCTACTACAGCAGACAATGGTGGGGATCAAGACAATCAGAAATGTGGACACGATTTAGGCCTGTCCCTTTATCAACAGCTGCTGTGATGAATGGGGTAGATGCCATCAAGTGGCATCAAAGGCTGGATTGCCTCATTCATTCAAATGAAAGATGCCCAAGTTCTATTCTCTCCAAGGTCACTTAGGGAATCTGGGTCAGTCCTGCCATTTCCAACTACAGTTTTTTTAATATTAGGGCCTCTAAGTAAAATGATGCTAGTAAATTCTGTTCATCTTTAACACAGCTCTACAAAAGGGGGGAAAAAAGACGAAGTCTATTTCTTTTGTCTTTCTTTTTGCTTTTAAAAATGTGTGTCTAGAAAGTATCAAAAGAAAAAGCGACATTATAATTGCTGAAGTTTTCTTGCCAACAAAAGCACCCCGTTCCTGGGGGTCATGTGTAGGAGAGAGAAGGACCTTTAATGGAGAGATGTCTTTGGACACCTACCATAGTTTGTCAGTTTGCAGATGCTAATGGAACCAGGCTTGGCGATTGAAGGGGAAAATGGAATATGAAAGCAAAATGAAAGAGGCCTATGAAGCAAGCCTGTCATTTCTAAATGAAGGTTTCATGCAAAGGAATTGAGTCTTTTCACAGCTGAAAATGGAATTTTTAAATAAGATAAAATAAAAGAACACTTTGGCTTGTTGCAGGTTCTGTAATGAAATACAGTCTGCTAATACCGTGTGACCTGCATTTCTCCCTGTTTTATGGGTGCTATTCCTTGACGTAAAACCTGTATTTTCTCAAGTCAGCATTTGATGATGGATGTCAAAATACAGGCCATGTATTATGCATATAGCATTACCGATTTAAGGTGTTTACTTGTCAAGTTGAAGAAATTCAAAAACGTCATATCCAATGAATCTGCACAGCTGTCACTTGCAGTTTTTCATGCTTTTTGAATGAAACTTCTGATGAAAACAGTTTAGTTTTCCCCTTCACTATTCTAGGGGAAGAAAACAGCTAGCATTTAAAATGCGTGTTATTGGTTATATGGTTGGCTAAAAAACAAACATTCCAAAGTTTAGAAAGATGGACACTGCACTTTCATTTAAAATTACTTACCCTGTGCACAGTATCTCAATATAAAGAATAAAATTAAGTGCAATAAGGGGATGAAACATAAATAAAACTTTTTTTTTCTTTCTGAAAGCATGATATTCAATAGTATAAAATGTATACACAGAAGAGCAGAAAACAGGCAAACTCTTTTATATTTTTCTGGCACTTCATGCATTATGCACCTCCAAAACAACAAGCAGTTATTGAGCACCTGTCATTTCATTCCTGATAAAGTTTCACACATACCATAATGCCAGATTCAACCCGCTCTTGTCTGTCACATTACTAGAGGGTAAGTCAAGAATCTGGTCATACAATCTATTTGGAATTTTGTCCTCGAGAACTTAGCAAGTAACTTTGTATATTTAAGTCCGTAATTCAATGATAAGCTCATATAAATATCCATCAAGGGCAAAGAAGAGAAACCCAAGTGAATGTGTCCGCCTGTCTTTTAAGTGGGGAAGCAAATTGGGCCTTGCAGCCAGCATAGAGCTGATGTGCTTCACTTGATAAAATTAATTTTCACCAAAAGGATGTATGAGATAAATAAATGTCTCATATTTTTATGTCTCTGTGCACGTCATTAAAGAGGCAGAAAGTCAACCTATTTGGAGTGATTTCTCACCCTCACTAAACTTGAAGTTATGGCTGGGCCAACCTCATTGTAATATGTACTTGGGATTTGGGACTGAGATCCAAAGAAGCCCAAATTGCAAAAATCAAAAACTAAGTAGTCTGCTTTCCAATTTACTGTGCCCACATGTACTTTATGATTTCTGTGTTAGGCACACTGGGAATTTCAAGTGTCCATTATGAACAAGAGGCAAATGCAGCAGGGTCTCTTCGTTATGTATTATAATCTCACTTATATATTTATAAAATTTACATATTTATAAAATTTCATGTAGTAAGAAGTCCCGAGGTCAGTTAATTTTGGTTCTAGGGCCGGTTAATTCAGAAACTCAAGGACAGTTCTTCCTGTCATTCAATTTTTCTATCATTCAGTTCAGTCAATATCATTTAAGCTGATTTTGTCCTCAGCTGGTGCCTATCCTAGTTGGATGATGGCTGCCCAGTTCCAGGCACTACAGGCACAAAAGCAATGTCCAGGGGATTAAATAAGAATCTCTCCCTATGTGGTTCTTTTTAAGAGCCAGGAAATTCGTCATTAAAGCCCCTGAGCAGATTTCCTCCCATCTCCCCTCGGCCAGGCTAAGTCACTCACTGAGAAGAGAATAAGCAATCAATTGGTTTAAGATAGCAGGACCGGTCAGGTTATGCTGTAGTAACGAAAACAGCAACAAAACAAATCTCACTGTCTTAAAGCAACACATATTGCTTTTTCACTCACTCAGAATGCTTTGTGGGTCTAGGGTACTGTATAGGGCTGCTGCCCAGCCTTAATCTTCATAGTAACTCATATTCCCACAGTTGCTATGGCCTGGGAAGAGAAGCAGTAGATCAAATACTTGGACCAGAAGTGATGCTAACATTGTTCTGTTCATCTTTCATGGGCCAGAGCATTTCCTATGTCACATGGCTATATCTAAGTTCACGGAGGCACTTAGATATAATTCTCATGTGTGCCTGGAGAGAGAGGGGGACAAATCTCTGTGAGCAAGAAAAAAATCAATAATTGGTATAGACAGGTTTTTAGGGAACTATCAAAGTGGGTTAGAGTTATTTATAACAATCTCCAGTTTGTCCTTCTAAAAAACAACTCATCAGAGTTTATCCTGGGAGTGCTAATTGTTGACCTATAAATCATGCATTATATACAAATATATATATATATATATAAACATATACACATGCGCGCACACACACATACTGGATTGGATTAATACTCTGAACTCTCGTTATTTCCAAATTTTCCACATCTCTGATTTTTCTTCCTTCTCTTTTTCCTTCCCAATAGGTTTCACGCCTCCAGGAATGGATAGATCTTCTCCAGACAACAGCCCAGTGCATGGGATGTTACGCCAGCCATCCATCACGACTGGGGTCAACATCCCCATCATCACTGAACTAGGTAGGGGTGAATGTCAGCTCCGGGTGGATTTTTTTGGTCCTCTCTTCCAACCATATAGGATATGAGGAGGCTGGCCTATTGTTTAGTTCCTTCAGCATAGTAGGCTCCAGTGGGGTTTGTTTTGAGGGAGGTCGGAGAGAAGTATGAGTGGAAATTTATCAGGTTATCAAATGGAAAACTGATCTATCTTTCCTCTGAGATGAATGGACAGTTTACCTCCTGCTGATGACTTTTTTAAGGCGTATGAGATGATAGATTTGAGACTGGGGCATTAATTAGGGAAAGGGGGGGAGGGAGGGAAGGCATAGTCCATGGACTCTTGGTAATTTTCGCTGGCAGCAGCTCTGGACAGCTCCTACAATCAGAACCCCCTACTGAGGTGCGAAGCCTCAGGTCTAAGCCAAACCATTTTCAGAAGTGGGGAGAAACATTAGACTAATATGTCCGGACTCTACATTTATTCTATCCTCGAACTTCTCAGACAAAGGCCATTTCCAGTGAGTGCCACTCAGGTCCAAAAAATGATGGGGTTATTAGTGCCATGATCGTTGGCCATGGAATCCAACTTTTAACCTGGCCATGGCACTCCCTGCTACCACCTGTGAACTTGCAAAACTGCACAGTGGTTTCCGCCTCCCAAGACAAATACTGATTCCTATGGTCCTGATCCTGGGTCTCTTTACTTTAGAATGTTTCCTCTGTTATTCCCTCACTCTTGTCTTTTTCTGTACTTTCCTCCACTCCCTTTCCCCAACCCTTAAATGTTGTATCCAATTAGCTAAACCTGGCAAGTTGCCTTTGGTATCAGTCAATCAGGAAAAAAACAGTGGGACACACATTCTAATGATAACTGAACTGGGTAAGAAGCACTGTTTTCCTTAACATCAGTATCTCCTTTTGTTCTGTTGTTGGTATTTCCAACCATCATCAGCTTGTTTTTTATTTCACCGGCTGTAACAGAAAGGCTACCCCTTGGCACTGCTTTGAATGTGTTTTATTTGTGGCTCTGGTTGGAATCGACTGTCTTGTTCTGGCCTTTCTTAATGATTTTTTTCCCCACATAGCATCAGTAAACCTTTGATCACACCCATCTGACCTAGCCGTTGTTTTCAAAGCATCTTTGCTCTAATTCATTTTCTTTGGCCTGGGCCTTTTTTTTTTTCTTTTCCATGTGTCCCCCTGCTCTCCCGCCTTCTCCCTTATAGTCCTCTTCCAACATACTGTCAGTATGACTGACATGTCTTCACAGCTCTCAGAGGAAGTCAAAGGAGAAATATAAAAATTTTAAGATAAGAAACCCAAGACAGTGCCTTCCCTCCAGCTGTTTATTTTCCTTTATTCTGACTTTATTTGCCTTTTTTTCATACTAGGCCCTTTCTCAGAAGCTCTGGTTCTGAAGCCATAAAAGCAGCTAGCTCCCAGGGGAACTTTTCTTACTAAAGCCAGATTTCAGGAAGGGTGCCAAAGATGAGGTTAGTAGCTACTGAGGCACAGCTCTGCACTCTGATCCCCACCCCACTGGCCCAGGGCCTTCTCTGGGAGATTTAAAGTGGACCCATCAGGAAGATGAAGGGCTTGATTATGACTGCATTTGTCAAACCCTTCCATGATTTTCCATAATTCGGTTAATAACTCCATGAAAGGCACTCCTCAGCAGCTGGTCTCAGAACCGGGGATTGATCTTCTAAATAGAGACAGCAAAAGTGCTTCTCAATGGAGAGGCGGATAGAGAGGTGGGGAGCACCTGCCTTCAAATGACTCAAATGAAACTAACATGCCATTTTCTTGGCCCCCAAATATATTTCAAAATAAGATAGCAGCTTTTAACACAGTAATCTTGCTTGCTAGGTGTCTAAAAACTAAGGAATAAATTGTCCACCACTCAGCACTGCATTATTGCGGACGTAGCTATTTATCAGGACAAATTCACTCAGGTCAAGGAGTATTGCACTATTTTTTTTTCCCAGCAGCAGAAGAGGTCTTTTTTGGGTTTAGAGAAGTTGGCTAAAAGCCTAGGCTTCTGGACTATTCTCCTCAGAACCTTAGTGTAAGAGACCCAGAGAGCTCGTGCAGCCCAGACTTCTGGTTGGAAAATTCATCCAAACATCCCCATCTCAGAAGCCTTTAGAAGCATTTCAGAATCATCACTGCCAGGAAATTCTTTTTTACATTTGGAATTCACATGCTGCCAACTAGCTGGGATATCTCGATTTATGATCAGAAGAGTAGAGGAAAGACTTGATGTCGCAAATCTGAGGCAAAAATTCAGGCATTTTATGAGTATCATTGAATCTCCTGAAGCCTTTGTCCCTCACCGGATGTCTTCCATGAGCTCAGAGAACCTTCCATGTGTTCCCATCGCCCTTACTTTCTGACGTGAGCCTGATTTTCCAGTGATCATACCACCTTTAGCAATCACGCCGTCATCCTCCGACCACTTTGCCTTCTTGCGTGCCCACAAATACTTACTGTTTATCTACGTGTTCTGAGACGTGTTCTGCGTTTCACCAAGCCAGTAAAATGCCTTTTGAAAACCATAGACGATGCGAAGATCAAAACAAGTTTTTTAAACGCTGTAGTATATTCTAGTCTTCATCCATTTGGAGAGTCCCAACTGATATTTGTGGGTCAAAGGCCTGTATAAGTTCCACAAGGGGAAAATTTGTTTAAAGCTGTTCAACTTGACTGTTTCCCAGTTGTATTTAACCTCACAGATTTCGGGGTGATTGTTTAAAGCACCTACATAAATACTGGTCTGTGAAATAGGCTTTGGGTGACACTGGCTATTCTCCCTCCAAGTCAGGGTAACACAGAACAGTATGCGGGATTTTTACTGAAACTTGGCTTATGCCTTGGAGTTCCTTGCCAGTGTCTCAAATTTCTAGATTGCTAAAAATCTAGAGTCATCACTTTCTACTTGTCACTACTTCCCCGCCAAGTCTCATACCAACCTTTCTCCATCAACTTGAAAAAAGATAATAGATGCTGTTTCTTTTGGAGTGTCCATACACATGCCTCCTTGGCTATTACAAATAATTAAAACCATGCCCCTCTGCATGTTGTCCCATGTTGAAATTTCCTGATTCATAAAGCAGGAAGACTGAGCTGTGACCCATAACATGCTTTGGGGTAAATGGAGGGAGAGGAGGAAAGCTACGAGTTGACCCTAGAATGATCCCTAAGCAAGGCCTATGTGCTTCTGAGAGGAGTGGAAGGAAGCTGGGCATTTCCATAACATAGTGGGTGGACAAAAGGTGTGATGTCAGAAAGGCTATCCTTTGAGCAGCTCACATTTATCAAGGTGCTGGGCCAGGCTCACCAAGCACAGTCTCACTGGCACCTCTTGACAGCCTCTTGAGAGCTGCTGTTACCTCCCCATCTTACAGAGGGAGAAACTAAGGTGGAGAAGAATGCTTTGCACAAGAAAATTAGTGTGGAGCCTGGCTCCAAAGCCTAGTTGTCCATCCTGCATTTTGTACTTTCACCCACGAGCCTGTAATTCAAGTGCTGCTGAGACAATGTGGACCCAGAAGTGATAAACTTTGGAAGAACAGCTCAAAGAATTCTGCCTCATACAATAAACAAAAACAAAAGTTAAGAAAAAATATTATCCAAAAAGTTACTTTCGGAACAAACAAACAAACAAACAACAGTAACTCTAAGAAAGAAAATTAGCTGCTGATATGTTTAGAAAGGAATCAGAAAAAGGAAACCTCATTTATTCTTTTCCTCAAAGCACGAGCATTACTTCAGAAATCACAGGCACTCATTTCCTCCTCCACCACACACTCTCCCTGCTATTGCCTGCTCTGCAAAACTGAACATTTCTGAAGCCAAGATGGGAATGGAAATTAATTTGTCACTTAATTTTTAATAAGTTAAAGACATCTCAGTGACACAGTCAATCAGTCTGCATGTGTGTGCCAGAGGAGTCCTTGAGGAATCCTCAGATGGAAATAAAACACAGCATCAAATGCTGCATCTGCTTGAGCTGAAGCACAGAAAAGACTGAACCTTTTAGAAGGGGAAAGGGAGAACGTGGGCGTCCCTATGCACCTCGGGATGCAGAGCAAGTCGTTGTCAGCAAGCAGCCAGAGACAGCCCAGGATCCATCCCACCTGGGGTTGCCTTTGTATTAACCAGGGCCTGTCGGATATGGGCCCAGATTCAGGGCCGGGACACCAGCCACTACTCAGACCCAATGCCAGGCAGGCTGCGGGTCATGCCTGTGGGTGAATTCCTTGCTCTTTGCCTCTGCTGTGCTCCCAGTCAATTGCTCTTCACTTTCTTTTCCTTGTGGCTTAACTTACCATCCCAGCATGGCTACTTGTGGCTACTCATCCTTGAAATATGTTCATCTCTCAAAGGACTTGGCTACCAAAAAACACTTTAGGGTGTTTTTCGGTCATGATTCTAAAACTATACCAAAGGACTGACCAGGACTGTCTACTAGTCCTCCAGCAGCCTGCCGTGGGGCAAGCCTGCTTGAATTTGTTGCTCTCCAGGCCTCGGAAACTTGAACGATCACACAGGAGCAGTCCATTGAGTCCCACTGACCCCCACCCCCAGATCCATATGGCTTCTCCCATGCTTTTCTTTTCTTTTCAGTGACTTCTTAGTGTTTCTAAACCACTAGCTTCCTCTTTCTCTGGCTTCACTGCCTGTGTGTGGTCTTTTGAGCTAATTCTTATTTTACGCTTTTCTAGTGAATGATACTAATGTTCAGTTTTTGGACCAAGACGATGATGATGACCCCGACACAGAACTGTACCTCACGCAGCCATTTGCATGTGGGACAGCGTTTGCCGTCAGCGTCCTGGACTCACTCATGAGTGCGGTGAGTGGGTGCGGGATAAAAGAGGGGAGCACCTCCAACCTCCCACACGAGAGGCTCGCGGTCTGAAAAGGGATACCGACGTTCGTCAAACTGTCATGCAAATAAATATTTGATTATAAATTCTTGAAAGTGCAAGGAAGGCTATGTATAAATATAGGTGAACACTTGACCTGGTCTCCGGATCAGAGAAAGTTTCCACAAAGAAATAATCCACATTTTATGTCAAAATCTGAGCAATAGAAGGCTGGGGAGGAGGTCGGTGGGTGGAAATCATAAGGAAGAATATCCCATGAAGAAAGAAGCTAATGCAAAGGCCCTGTGCTAGGAGAATATGACAGTCTCAAGGAAGCCAAAGAAAGCCTGTGTGGCTGGACCACGGTAAGTGAGGGACAAGGCAAGGTCGGACCTGCAAGACCTTGAACCCGTTTTAATGGTTTAGGTTTTTTCTTAAGAGCAATGAGGAGGCATTGAAGGGTTTCAAGCTGACAAGTGATGTGACAAGAGACTGCCTCAGCTAGGGTGTGGAGGATGGTTCAGGAGGCAAGATGGCAGAGTCAGAGGCTCTCAGAGCTTAGACTAGGATAGAGCTGGCAGAGCTGGAGGGCGGTGGATGGATTTGAGTGGTGTTTCTGTAAAATCAATAGAACTTGGGAATAGAGTGAATATGAGCTGAAGGTAGAAGATAACAAAGTGTCCAGGATGACTCCTAGGTCACTGCCGGTCACTGAGACATTAGTTTTGGGGGAGGACCAGGCATGAGGGCCAGGCCTGGCCTGTTCTTTTTGCAAGGAAGGACTAAAGTAGTGGCAAAGAGTGGAGAGTGGGCTGGCAAAAGAATCAAAAGCATCTTTGGTTTCTTTTATAACTTGGTGGCATTGTTTTTGCACCCTTGAGGCCAAAGACAAAAACAAGTTAAAGGTAGGCCCTAGTTTAATGGAGCCATCCTGAACTGTAAAAGCCAAAAGCAGACATTAGAATGGATTATAACCTGAAACATATAATAAACACTTCATAAATAGTTTTTGGATAAATACTTAAAAAACAAATTATTTTGGAATTCTCAAGTTCACAATTTGTGGAAATCCAGACATAGGCTGGATAAACATTGACCTTTGGAGAATCCGTGAAAAGGAGTCTTATTGAACACATTAAAACCATAAACATAGCTCAGAGAGTTTTTATGCACATACATTTCTTAAAGTGCTTAAAAAGCCTATTCTCCTGAATGTGTTAAACAACTGATAGGCTAATTATGCACAATTCTCATCTATTCATTAAAGCTAATCCCAGAAGGACCTCTATTTGAAGAAAGAAAAAACATAAAGCTTTTTAAGACTAATTTAGGTTATTCTATATTCCTGAATGTGGTCCAACTGTAAGCATATCTTTGTTAAAAATCAGAATTATGGATTTAAAAATAATTATGAAATAACATTCATTTGAATTAAGGTTGGCTGCAGTCCATGATATACCGCTGCTTTCCAAGCCAAGGAGAAGAATTATACAGTCCCTAGGGAAGAACACTCTTGGTTTCCCAGGGCTTATGATCTTCCTAATGGCCTGAGAACACTGAGCCTAACCTTTCTACCTGCAGTGGTGTCAGGCTTGGTTTGGGCAAACTCCTTAAGCAAGCCAGAAGGAATGGTAGGTGATACTGGATGTGTTCATTAAACCACCACACTCTCTATAATGGTCCTCATAGTCTCCAAATTCTGTTTCAGATTTCTGTAATTCATCGCTTTAGAAATATCACTTTACTTCTGATGCTAATAAGGAGGATTACAGAAGGCTGTTCTCACTAAGAAATAATTAAACTGTTTATAGTACAAACTTTTTCAGAATTAGGAAATACTTTATTAAAATGTTTTGAAATTCAAATTTAGAAAATTATTTGTTTTTACATATCAGGTATTCAGTATATTTCAGGTAGGATTAGCTACATAATTTTCAAGGCCATTTTTTCATAAATTAGTAAAAATTTTAAAACGGTAACAGAGGAGCATTAAACCAAGCCGGGGGCCCTCCTGAGCATGGGCCCTGGGTCACTGCACAGGCCACACACCCTTAAAGCCAGCCCTGGTTCCAAGGAGTACAACTGATGTTAAGCTTCCGAGAACTCCATTTCTGCAAGCTACGGGGACACATGGTGGCCATGGGGTGGGAGTGGGTCCACATCTGGATTTGAAGTGCACAGCTATCTGTCTGCAGCATAGGGAGTCAGTTCTTAGAAACTCAGGAGATATCAAAGTGAGTTGGTTTGAAGTCTTTTAAAAGTCTTCAAACTTTTTTTAAAAGTTTTTTTAAAAGATTTAAAAGTCTTTTAATCTCCTTTGAAATGCAAACTAAAGTATTTGGGAGAGGGTAGCCAAGACATATGTGGATACAATAGTCTGAGAGTAGCACTTCTGAATTCTAGCCTGGGAAAAGAGAGTGTCAGGAATCTAGTAACTGTCATTGTAATTATTATCAGCAGCATCATTTATTGAGGATTCAGAACTGTGCGAGATACTTCACCTACAGTATCTAATCTTTTGTGCAGTAATATGAATAAACCTGGTCTAAGTGTTAAAGCAAGACATATTTAACTGATCCAGTTGTAGTGACTTTTCAAATCTTTAACCAAATGCCTAACCAATTATTCCAGGCCTTTTTTTCATTGTCTAGAATGAACAAGTTTCACAGTGAGGTCTTGACCTGGGTCTGGTTCAACAGATCTAATTGAATCTAGACCTGATAAAATGTTACCTGTGATTTCTTTGCATTCCACCCCAACCTTCATATTTATAATATATAATATAATAGATTATCAGGGACCAAGGCAGTAACTGGAAAGAACCGAAAGGGTGGGTGAGAATATAAATTGAGAAAGTGAGACTCCTCCGAGCAGCAGGAGCCAGAGGTAAGCTTCCATCTCAGTCATTTTCTTACAGGCAACATCACACACACACACACACACACACACACAATCTCTTTAGATCTCGATGATCTTTTTCTAGCGCTCCTCCCAAAATTTGCCCTTTAATCATATGTCTAAACATTCCCTGAATGTTGTCCTTTAAAACTCAACTCCTGCTGCTTACTGCTTCATTTGTTGAAAGAATGTTTTGATTCATCACAGGCTTTCCTTGAATAGATAGGGATGTTGCAGGCATGGCCTCGTGCCTTTCTCTTGCAAATCAACAGCAGAAACACATGATGAGAGGGAATCATTATGCTTATGGATATATGCCTCTAATACTATCGCAACTGTGAAATGTATTTTTCAGAATGATACCAGCTTGCTACATATACAAAGGTGAAAAGGAAGCCTCTCTTTATTTAGAGTTGAAATGGGCACATGAGTATTCAGATGTTTTTTTTTCTATAATCACTGCTTCCCTCTACCATCACCCCCAATTTAAGTTCCACCTAGATCAGTCATGGACTCAAGAGCTAGACTGCTTGGATGTGGATTCCAGCACTGCCATTTACTGTCTGTGTAATCTTAACCATTTTGTGCCTCAGTTTTCTCATTTTTAAAATGAGGATAATAATAGTACCTACCTCATAGGATTTTTGAGATGATTAAATAAGGTAAAGTTGTAGGCCTTTTAGCCACGCTTCTCTCGTTCAGGCCCACTTCTACATCTGAAAGTGTACTATCCCTTCTAATAAAGCTTTTCTTTTCTGCTATTAAAAAAAAAAAGTTGTAAAGTGATTAGTGCAGAATTTAATACATGACAAGCTCTATATGTACTTATTGTTATTAATCAATACATTTATTGGGCACTTACTAAATGCCAGGCACTATTTTCCATTCTGGGGATTCAGCAGTGAAGAAGAAAGACGAAGTCCTTGCCTTCATGTTGTTTGAAGTTTCATTCTAGTGGGTGGTAACTATATAAGTGATGATAACTGTGTGAGTAAATAAGTTCTGTCAGCTAGGGATAACTGATTTGAAGCGCATGAAATAGTTTGAATGGGTGTGGAGACTTGTTTTAGCCAAAGTGATTGGAATAAATCTCTCTTAGGCAGTAAGTTTGAAGCTGACACCAAAATATCAGGAGAGCACCTGGAGGTGAGGGTGACTAACTTTGCCAGGCAGAAGAAAGAGCAAGGGCTGAAAAGTAGCGATGAGCTGGGTTTGGTTTGTCCAAGGAGTGGGTAAGGGCCATAGTCGTTGGAGTGTGGTAGACATGGGTGAAGGTTACACAAGAAGCAGTTAGACAGGTAAGGCCATTGGCCACACCACAGATATTCTGTATATAAAAGCATGTCCAGTCAAGTTTTAAATCTGGGGTTAGATACTTCAGTCTTGGTTAGAGGATTCACCTTCTTTTAGTTACCACCAGCATCTTTATAATGCCACTAGAGAATGTGACCATCTAGAAGGTAGACCCACGTGATTTGCTCTCTTAACTCCGTTTGCATTAGGGGCCAAACCCTTGAACTATGTTATGGAGAAAACCAAGTTCTTGTTTAGCCCAGACTAACCTAGTGCCATGTGAAGTAAGTTACATAAACAAAATATTCCTTTATGGGCCTATTTCTTACACTCCACTCAAGAACCTCCATTTCTACTTCTCAGAAGAAGAATGACCAGCCATGGGCTATCCCAAGGCGGCTGAGCTAGCTGGCATTGTTTCAGTGTGGCAAACTGTAGTATGTTCTGTTGGACTCAGAACATGCCATGGCTGTCACATCAGGCCAGGTGGGCCCAGGATTGAAACAAATCAAATAGTTCTCATCTTTCATGAAAGAAAAATACTAAAAATAAAAATCTACACCATGAAAATGAGGAAATATAAAAAATGGCAGCTATGACATGGAAAATGACAATTTTAGAGCAATTATAAACGAAAGGCAAAGTGCCATTAAAGTTAAGGCAATGTTATTAAAAGATGTGTTAATTTTCAGTTAAATTTTCTATAAAAGACCAATTAGTTTAAAAGGCTTGACAGCATTAACTGTGAAACATAAGCTCTGGTAATTATACTTGAAAAAATAAAAAAGGAAGATGC